GCCAAAAATTTTACATGCTCGTGCGTGGATACCTTACATACCTGGAAAGCTGAATTTGAAAATTTTAAATTGTACGTGGACAGGGAACATCACCCTAAAGTTTCAGCCTTCCAGCTCTTCTGGTTGCCGAGTTAGTAATTTTCTGCAGGAAATTTCATGCACCCTTGCGTGAGTGCCACGCATAACTGGAGCTGAATTTGAAATATTTGAATTGTACTTCGATAGGGAACATTCCTGCAAAATTTCAGCTTTACTGAATTTGAAGTATTTGAATTGTACTTCAATAGGGAACATTCCTGCAAAATTTCAGCTTTCTGGGCTCTTGAAATATTTGAATTGTACTTCGATAGGGAACATTCCTGCAAAATTTCAGCTTTCTGGCTTTCCCTGGTACCCGAGTCAGCAATTTTTCCCCTGAAACTTTCAAACGCCCTTGCGTGCGTACCACGCATATCAGGGAGCTGGATTTGAAATCTTTAGCTAGTACATGCACAGGGAATATCCCTACAAAGTTTAAGCCCTTTAGCTCGTGTGGTTCCCGAGGTCGCTTTCCCGTCAAAAAATTTGCATATTTTTTTAAAACGTCCGTACTCGGCATCCAGATGTCCAAGGGGGATGAAATTAAAGCGGGAGGGTCGCGCATCGTATAGGCACATATCCCCAAAGTTTCAGCCTTCTAGCTTTTCTGGGTCTCCAGCTGAAAGTGGGTGACAAAAAGTGCGAACACACAGACACACACACACATGCGCGCACACACACACAGACAGCCTCTTCCCAATTTGCGTTTTTGCAATTTACATATATGCAAAAACGCATAAAAATTGGAGGTATTGCTCGAACAGCTGTTTGTCAAAAAATCTATGTTCATTTACATATACGATTGCGGTTCAGGTCCAAGTTGCGAACGATTTTTGGGTTGAGGAGCTGCTTGAGGCTGTAGTTGGGAAGGAGGGGGCCGGTAGCTGAGTTTAAAATCTTTAACTCACACGCGCATAGAGAATGTCGCTGCAAAGTTTCAGTTTCCTACCTTGCCTGGTTCGCGAAATCGTTTCCCGCCAATATTTTTCTTTGGGGGTCCCGTACGCGGAGTCTAGGCGCGTATGGGGAAAGACTTTAAAATGGGAGGATGACACACGGGGTAGGAACATATATCCAAAGTTTCAGCCTCCCAGCTTCCTGGTTGCTGAAATGAAAGTGGGTGACAAAATGCACTCGCTCCCGAACGCACACACACACAGACAGCCTCTCGGCAATATGCGTTTTTGCTGGCTGTAGCAGCACTATAGCGCTGCACAGCAAATACGCATAAAAAGCATATTGTCACGGAATTGTCTGTATGTGTATGTGTGTTTGTCGCAGCAATTTGTCCGCGACTTTCAACTCAGGACCACAAAAGCTAGGAAGCTGAAAGTTAGGGGAA